TTCCCTTCTCTGACCTTCATCTATTCACATAGCTCCCTGCCCTGAAAAGTTTATAGTCTCTGTGTATGGTACAGTCTCTAGTGCAGTGAGGTTGTAATCTCAGTAGGCAGCTACAGCTGCTCTGGTAATACTGGATGTGGGACTAAATTCACACTACCGTGTTACCCAGGGTATTTCCTTTGGAGCAAATAGTCCATTTCAATCCTTCAATCTGAGTAGAATTCACTATAGTGCAAAGGGTCTGTATGGGGCCCTTTGTATGCCTTTATGGCAGGAACAGACCCTTAGGCCAGGTACAAACGTTACACTTTTACTGGTATAAGTGATTGGAAATCAGTTTATACCTGTAACATAACAGAAGTTCAGCACACACAGACTGGTTTAAAAATGGCAGACCCCAGTCTAAGATTTGCCCCCTCAGCCAAAGGACAAATGCATGTTCTGTTTGCTACCAGCCTAAACTAAGCCTCTTACAGAAAATGGCATAACTTTAGATTGATTCTGCCTTGGGGTTTTTGAATTTCTGTACCCCAGCCTTACAGAATAAACAACACACCATATGGGCCATCTCATCTGGGGTAAATTTCGTATTTTAGAAGAAGTGAAACAAAGCAACTGCATTCACCCTAGGCTGAGAAGGCTATAGGGCCAATCAAATTACAAACTTAATACTCCTACAGAAGCTCTTAAAATCCAACTTTTATGCAGGTTTTACAAAAGGCGAAGTTGGTACCAAACACAAAGTTATTTTGATTGCTGTATAAAAAGGGGCCTGGGAACTTTTAATGCTTTGTACTGGGCTTAACAGTTATGTTCATGCCTGCAAATGACCTGGCTGGCACTGTGTATCACTTGGCCATGGAAGCTAGTGTCTAGGCTTGTTTGTGAAAAATAAAGCTGGCTAAGTTTTGTTACTTAGAACCAAAGCCTGTGGTCTCTTCCTTGGAATAATGAGCTTGTTAGGGACACTGCACCACAGATGGTATCCTGATGGTGCGAGGAAGCTGGACATGACCGGTAACACCTAACCCCTGAACAACACTCACAGAGTTGGATAACAATGATGAGAGAGACCTACAGCAGTAAGCAGGTATTCATTAATTTAATGGTACTGCTCATAGCATAAAGAGGTTGTTTTTTCACAAATGAGGAATTACGTTGCCCGTTTAAGAGTAATAGGATAATACAAACAGGCAGTAGCAATTCTCTGAAGGACTTACAGCATTGGTCACAGACTGCTGCACTGAATTACAGTGCTAATTCAGCATAAGTTCAAAAATGTCATGTAGTTCTGTAACGTTCCACAATAAACTTTAATGCAATAATGTATTCTATGAAACTGTTATTAAAATAGGAATCAGCCAGTTCAGTTGATCCAGCTAACCATTTGGCTTCTGCCACTTAATCAGAGCCCCTGCCAACCTTACTTAAAAGGGAGGAGGAGAAAAGGAGACCGTCTAGCTAAGAACACCCTTGTTTAAATCTGCTGTTACCGTGGATACTTATATTACTGTGCTGAGGCATTTCTAAGCATTAGATTTTTTTTTTCTCACAAGAAACAGCATTTTAGCATGGTATGAAGGCAGGTACCGACTCTTACTGTATGAGTACATATGTTTTATCATACTGACTAGGATACTAATCAGAGAGCGAGTGAGTGATGTGTTAACTGATGTGACATGTTGAAGCTGTATTCTGGCAATCAAAAGAAGAGAGAACCCTTAAGACATTCTCAATTTTGTGAGTTTTGAGGGTTTTTTTCAGAAATATCTGTTTGTATTTGATAAATATACTTTAAAAAATACCCCTTCTGTTCAGTCTGCTGATTGTAGGCACATATGTTTATCCTTGTAACTCTGGAAAAAGGAGCTCTTCACTGCTTTGGAACAAATAAAGGCCAGGGGTGTAACGACTGGCTGCTTGGTGTGCACACCTCTTGGACGGCCCTGAGGGTTGCAGATCTGGGTTGAACTCTAAGCTGTAAGTTTATTTTTCACTGCTGAATTACTTAATTTCCCTATTACAAACCCTAATAGTCATCAGAGAAACTCTGTTGACTACATTTTTTCCCCAGATGGCATTCTCTCCTAGCTCCCCAGTGCCGTAAAGCTGAGGTACAAAAGCTGCGGCCAAAACTTTGCACCCCATTTTCCCACCTTTTCTGTAAGGGGAATGTTACGGTGAGTAAAGCATGGAATACAGAGTGTATTAGTGATCCTGGGCTGGTGGACCAGTCCTTTTAGGAGACAGGTATAAATTTCAGCAACTGAGCAGTCTCTGGACCAGAGGAGCTAGAAAGTGGAGTTAGACTCTACCCCCATGCCCTACACACACATACAACATATGCCAATGGCCTGGCACAGCTGTGGATCAAAACCTGTCTTTTGTAAAGCACTGTGTACGTTTGTGACTTTGCAACAGTAGTGTCAAAAGGGGGAAAAAATTCTTCAGATAGAGCAGGTAATAAAAACCATGCTTGCATTCCTTAGTGGGTGAACTTCAAAATGCTTGAAAGTGGAACAAAATTTAAACTGCAAATAGAAATCATTGCTGATGCTGCTAAGCTCTGTGGCAAAGAGATCTCTTTGCATTTAATGAAACTGCAAGAGACTTGCAGTGCCTGGTGGCAGGGGATAGAGTGCTGCATTGCAGTCTGACATTTCACCCTGTCAACTTAAATGCTGCTGGCTTATTTTTTCTAAGCAAGACAATTTGTCACGAGCAGAGTTGAGTGCAATCACCAGCAGCAATTAGGATTTTCTTTTTCCTACATGGTACTCAATATTGTTGAGTTAGGTACAGCTTGAGGAGCTAAGTGTGTTTCAACTAACAACAGGCTTCCTGTTTTTGGGCTGCATGTGGTGCTTGCATATGCTTCTTGGGCCAGGTACAGATATTACACATAAGCCAGTCTAAGTGATTCGAAATCCATCTATATCTGTAACTGTACAGAAGTTCAGTGCACAAAGACCAGTCTAAAAATGGTCGAATCTGGTCTAAGATAGACCTGGTGCGATGTGCATTTAAACCTAATTGATTTAGGTTAGACTGGTGATTCGAACCTCTATACCAGATCCCCTATCAATTCCAGATAGATCACTGTCCTCAAGCATCCCAGCCTCCTTTGTGATCCCACCCCTACAGGGAGGCACACTAGCATTCAGCTTGTACTTGGGTGCTCTGGCCAAGGGTCCAGTAGGCCCCACCCCTGAGCTCTCCCCAGACCAAGCTGGCACAGGCCCTCTTCCCAGCTTTGCTTCCTGCCTTCAGCCATCTGACAGCTGCAGGCAGGCAGCAGTGGGGGGTGGGAAGGGAGGCATTTGTGTGTCTTGCATGAGTCCCAGGACCTGAGTATCCACATCCCACCAACCCGCATCCCCAGGCCGTGCCTCCACACCCAATCGATGTACATACACACCTGACACTGAACTGAGGAAACTCCTGCACTTGGGCACAGCCCCATGGAGTCCAACACTGACTTTTGTATATGGAGCCTGACCCTGGCTTCTGCACACCTAGCTGGGGCCCCTGTGCTTGGGCACAGCCTTATAGAGCCTGACCCTGGCTTCCACACACCAAATCTCAGTGGCCAAAGCCAGGCACCCTGCCCCCCAGACCCCGGCATGGACCTTCCCCTGTGCCAGCACGGGCCAGTGTGGGCAGTCCACCTCTGGTTGGTTGGGGCTCTGGAGGGCAGACCATCAGGGCTGGGCCTGCATGGAGGTAACTCTGTCACCTGCAATTTGGCCACTGCTGGCAGGTATGTAGCCATGGGCACCCAGGGTGTTGCAAGGCTTTTTTGCCCCATAGCTACAGGGTCCTGGAGTACTGGGGGAACAGGGGGCATGGGGGCATGCTTGCCCATACCTGGCAGCCAATCAGGGGTGACCTGGGCACTTGGTTGTGCTCAGCAGTCTCTGGCAGCCCACAGGGCATGCTGGGAGGCACCCCCAACATTCAGGCCTCAGCCAGTGCAGGCAGCCTGTGTGCCCCCACAAAGTGTGAATGTGTACACTGTTTGCTACCAATCTAACCTAGGCTGCTTACTGAAAATCAGATGACTATAATTTTTGATTCTGCCTTGGGCTTTCTAAACATCTGTATTTACCTTTGATGAAGTATGTCTTCACTAACACGACAGGGACATTTTAAAGGTAGGAAAAGCAAAATGAGAGCACTCTCTCCAATGTGAGGCATGTAAGGACATGTAATCTGATTATTTTTTTAAGACAGAATTTTGAAGTATGCAGTGAAGCTGGATCCAACTTTAAATCCCCCTTTATTTACCCAGAAAGAGTATATATACTTGTATAGACTTGCTGTTCTAGGGCTTTGCTATTTCTGGTTTCAGTATTTCATCCAATGAACCCTGTATGGTGTAGATTCTGGTGGAAAAAAATCACTGGCCAGTTTGAAAGATAGTTCAAAAACAGTTTGGGGCACATAGCTGAGCCTCAGCTAACCTGAATTACTTATCCTTTCACCTTGTAAAAATGGATCCATTGTGGTCTTTTAGACATAGACACTGAAAATAACTAACCCCTCATATGTATCAGCTTAATTAATGTCAACTAAAGGTAATGCAACATTCCTTTTAAAGCCATCTCTCAGGAAAAGATTAAGTAAACTGACTTTTACGTTATGTTGCAAAGTCTCTGTACCCTGAAGGGGGAAAACTCCAGAATTCCCAGAAACTACTAGTCTTTCAGCCAGAGATAAAGACATTCAGTGGATATTTGCTTGAGCACCCCAAATTTGGGATGCTAGGGAAAGGCACAGAAAAGTGCCTTTATCAGTTCAACAGTGGTGTGTATTATATGTATAATATTTTTTCAGACTTTGTTTCTTTGTTACTGCACTATAAACCTACATAACTAAGGAACAAGACCCCACCACTGTGCACTGGGTACATACAGTAAAAATGCATTTCCAGCTGAAACCCTGTCTTTCAGCTAATAGAAGAAAATAGAGGAGCAGTCACAAATGGCCAATAAACCCACCTTTATGTTCTACAGAAGCTGCGAGCACTGTGGAGTGATGTAGTCCTGCCTGTGGTTTCATTGTCTCCCCTCAGACATGTTCATATTCAGTCTGCCATTTCATTGTGGGTTAGAGATGAGTGATGGTTCCATATTTCTGTTAAAAAGAAAGAGAGAACCTCTAAATGAGTGACTTACAACTGTGTACAGCAGGCACTTCAACTCTTCCATTGTGTGCTTAGCCCCTTAATGACTGTCTACAGGGCAAACCAAAGGTGTGACTGCAGTTCAAAAAATCATAGAGGATCAGAGAGAAACAGGGCTGGAAGAGACCTCCAGAGGTCATCTAGTTCAACCCCCTGCCTGAGGCAGGTTCCTCCCTATCCAAACCATTCTGTACAAATCCATTGTCAGACCTCTTAGCAAAACTATAAAGTCACCCCAGACACTAAAACAAGGTGAAACACCCTAACCTGACACAGGTAAAGTGTGTGTGGGGGGGCATAGTGGCCAATATCATGTCACTACAAAGGTTGTTAAAAAATGTTCAAGAGATCTAAGGAAGAGGACCATGCACCCCTGCTTTTTTTTTTTACTGCCCACACAGTCCATACTGATGTGAGCATAAAGTAAAATTCCTTTCTGACCCCCAAATATAGCAATCAGTCTGACCCTGAAAGGAGGGGCAAGATCCTTTAGCCAGGAACCTCAAAGCTTAATTCCCAGCAGAAGTCTCAATCAAACTCTCCAGCCTTGGCTACAGCCAACCCTCAGTACTTCTGAGGAAGGCTTAAAAAACATCCCGATACATGTAGTAGCAGGATGGGGGAAAAAATTCCCTCCCACCCCATGTGTAGCCAGCAAAGCCCAAAAGCATGGAAAATATCCATAAGAGAATACAGGCCATCTAGATCAGGGCTGCTGAAGCTCCAGCCCACCAGCCAAATGCAGCCCACAGAGCCTTAGAATATGGCCTGCAGGGATACCTATGGGTTGGGAAATTTGGTGGCAAGGGGAGTAGTGACAGTAGTGCCAACCCTCCCCGCTGCCAAAATTCCAAGCCCCATGGGCCAGGTCTAAGCTGGGCCATGAGAGCCCTTCCTTCTAGGCCACCTGCTTGTGGCCAGGCTGGGCTCAGCAGTATCCCTTTTCTCCCCCAGGGCCAGGCCATGCCCCCTCCCTCTTCACAGCTGGCTTGGGCCAGGCCACATCCCCTTTCCATTCCTTCTCCCTCTGTGGGGTCAGGTTATGCCCACTTCTCTCCACACAGCTAGGCTGGGGCTGAGCCATGCCATGCCCCTTCAACCCACATGGCTGGCTTGGGGCCAGGTCATGGCCCCTCACTCCCCCATAGGGTGAGGATGGGGCCAGCCCAAGCCCTCTTCTACCAGGTGACTGTGATGGCTAGAAAATGATATGTAGAAGTTTGCTGTTAGGAACTGGCTCATAGGTAAAATAGATATTGTATTGGAACAATGGTTTAGGAGAATGGGAAGGGTTAACTGATTTGTAAACGCCTGTTTGTCACAGTTTCACAACCTTCAGGGAAGACAGGTTATTTGAGGTCAATGGATATACATGTCCTGGGAAACTGAAAACACCCAAACTTTATTTTCATAATAGAGCTAGGCGTGGTTCCAGGGCTACAATGCCCACTTGTAAATCCTTTGGGATTTCCGGTTTCAAGTGAAATGAGCAAATTAAGGTGTGTGTGCGCGATAGGTTTATGAAAATAGGATTTTGGCTGACAAAACAGAACACGGACATTATGATGACCACAGGGAGACCAATCAAGGATGCCCAAAGATGAAGAGTCATTGGAAGAGAAAGAATACAAAAGGAGGAGTTTTCAAAACAGCAGACTGGCAGTTGGCATTGGTCCCTCACCCCTGAGGTTGCTAACATCAGACATTCAAGCAAAGATCCTCAAGGTGGCATTTACGTACTAGCTGGATGCACCACTTGCCTTGTGTATATTTTGGGCACTGGGGAATTTGGGTAATGTATGTTGTAATCATCTTGCTTACTTTGCTTGCATTGCTCTTATTTCCTATCACTGTGTATCAATAAAATTTGCCTATTATCAACTGGAGGAGTTGTGGTGACTCTGAAGGTTGTGCTCACCCAGAGCAAGGTACTGTGGCTGGGTTGTGAATCCAGTGCCAACAGCTGGATCAGGGCCAAGCTACCTCTCTTCCCACTCTGCACAGCCAAAACCAATCTAGATAATTCGTAACCAGTATCTGTCCAACCTATTTCTGAGCACCTCCAGTCATGGAGAGTCCACAACTTCTCTAGGCAGTCTATTCCACTGCCTCACTGTTCTAACCATGAACAAGTTTTTCCTGAAATCCAATGTAAATGTACTTGGCTGCAACTTTAAGTCATTGCTTGGTGTCTTGCCCTCTCAGCAAGAGGGAAAAAGTTCTTTTTCTCTTTATGGTAGCCCTTCAAGTATTTGAAGACTGCTATCATGTCCCCTTTTAACCCCCTTTTCCATTAGTTGAACATGCCTATTTCTTTTAACTCTTCCCTGTATAGCTTGCTTTCCAGGTCCTTTATTATATTTGTCATCCACTTCTGGACCCTTTCCAGCTTCCCATGCCTTTTTAAAAATGTAGAGCCCAAAACTGAACGTAGTGCTCTAGATGAGGCCTAACCAGTGCTGAGTAGTGTTTCTATTGATGCATCCCAAAACTGCATTCACCTTTTGTGTGGCTGTATCACATTGCAGACTTATATTGAGTCTGTGATTTACCAGCCTCCAAGATCCTTCTCTATAGTGCCAGCATTCAGCTAGGTGTCACCCATTTTATATTAATATTTTGGATTATTCTCCTGGAGTTTCAGGACCTTGCATTTGTCAACATTTGACTTCATCATGATGGCTCCAGCCCAGCTTTCCAAAGTTAAGATCTTCCTTAACTGTACTCATGTCCTCCGATGTGTTTGTGCACCTTCCCAGTTCAGTGTTGTATGAAAATTTGCTTAAAAAACTCTCAATTTCAGAATTCAAATAATTGAGAAATGTGTTGAACAGCAAGCGGCCCAGGACAGAACCCTATGGGACCCCATTCAAAACCTCTTGCCATGGATCCATTTATAGTTACCTTTTGCTTGTGACTATTGAGCCAGTTGTCTGTCCACCTTATAGTAGTTTTGTCTAGCACACATTTCTCCAATTTGTTTATGTAAAAGTTATGTGGGACCTCGTTAAAAGCCTCGCTGAAGTGAAATCCAGATACGTTGTCACAGTATTCCCTTCATCCACCCAAGTAGTTACTTTGTCAAAGGAGACTAAGTTTGTTTGTCATGATTTGATGTAAATCCATGCCGAGGGCTTGTCATCAGCCTTCCCACCTCCAGATGCTTGCAAATAGACTTCTTTAGAATATGCTTTAGTAACTTCCCATGTACTGAGATGATGCTAACTTGTCTGTAGCTCCCAGGTCCTTCTTTTTGCCTTCCTTAAAGAGGGGTACCATATTGGCCCCTTTCTAATCCTCTGCTACCTTACTCCATTACTTTGCAAATATTATTATTGCCAAGTATTATGTGATCACCTCTGCCAGTTCCTTCAATACTTTGGAATGGAATTTATCAGGTCCTGCTGACCTGAATTCACTCAGATCCCTCAAGAGTTCTCTGAGTGTTCCTGTTGTTATTTCATACTTCAGCTTGTCCCCTTCCTAATCCAAATAATCTTTATTAGGGGGTTGTGTAGCAGGGGCCCTCAACCCCTGCTACATGCGAGATAGGTTACCAGCACTGGAAGGCTGCAATTAAGTAGGCAGCTGAGTAGGAGCTATCTGCAGAAAAACAAGCAGCCGTGGAAAACCCTGAGGAGTAAAGGGCAGCAGGGGAGAGAGCAGTGGCTACAGGTCAGTAGTTTAAGCCACAACACCTGAGGGCAGGCTGGGTACTGGGATAATTAGGAATCCCTTGCCAAGGACACGGCCACATGATTCAAAAGAGGTTGAGCCCAGCCTACTGGTCTGGGTGGCAAAAGAGGTATTCAGGTAACATGGGTAAGTAGGGAAGCTGTAAGTGCTAGCAGCTACTAGGCAGAAGTTTGCTTGCACTGTGGGAGTCCTAGAAGGGTGTTTTGATTGATTTGTAGTTGACAGAGTCCTGGAGGACTCAGTGTGGCTGAAAGGGATGGCTAGGAAGCCACAATGGGTGCCTGAGGGGTATCCAGTTACAGGCTGAGGAAGCAACATCTGTTAAGTCAAGGACTCAGGAGGCTGAGCCTAGCTAAAGAGCCAGAGTCTGGCCTACAGAGAGAGCAGCCTTGTCCTGGGTCAGGGATGCTGGCGGGAGGAACTGAGAACAGCTTTGCCTGGGCAAAGGGTACAAGGAGGCTGGGAGAAACTGTGAGCAGCCTTGGACTTGGAGGAGTACGGCTGAAAGAGATCTCCAGATGTTAACTAGTCCAAGCCTCTACCTGAGGTGGCTATCCAAACCATCCCATACAACCCTAATCTAAACTCTATATAAGATTATCATCAACCCTGATGCAACATGGATCTAACAGCCACCCTAATCTGCCACAAGTAAAGCAGGAGAACCACAGCGGTCAATGTCCTGCTTCTATGAAATGTTGTCAGTGTGTGTGTGTGTAATGTTGCCATGTTCCCCATTACAGAGGAAAGCAACCCCCCCACCTCTGTCCACACCAGTTTGACCATAGGGTAAAATTCCTTACTGACCGCAAATATGGCAATTGGCTTGAGTGGAGGGGCAAGACCCTCTAGCCAGGTACCTCTAGTTTTGTTCTCGGCATGAGCATTGGTACATCCCTGTCAAAGTTCCCAGTGTTGGCTGTAGTGACACCCAATGCCCTTGGGAAGGCTTAAAAACACCCTAACATGTAACAGAAAAGGAGGTGGTGGTGGGGGGAGCAGCCAGCAAAACTCAAAAGCATGGGAAATTCCCATAATGGAACATAGGAATAGCTGTGCCCGGCTCATCCCTGAAGAGTGGCTGCCCAACTTGTTCTTGAACACCACCAGTGACAGAGTCCATACCTTCCTTAGGTAGTCTAGTCCATAGCCACGTTGTTCTAACAGTGAAGAAATTTTTCCAGATATCCAAACTAAACTTACTTTGCTGTAACTTCAAACCATTGTTCTGTGTCCTCTCTGCAGCAAGAGAGAA